TTTCTGAACTATCAATTCTATTCCATTAATCTATATGTTTATCTTTATGCCAATAGTACTGCTTGGTTGCTGTATCTTTGTAGTAAATTTTGAAGTTGAGAAGTGTGAGTCCTCCAACTTTGTTCTTCAAGATTGTTTTGGCTCTTCTGGGTCCCTTGAATTTCCATGAATTTTAGGATTGGCTTGTCAATTTCTGCAAAGAAGCCAGCTAGGATTTTGATAGGGGACTGCATTTATTCTGTAGATCAATTTGGGGAGTATTGCCCTCTTAACTTTATTAGCCTTCCATGTTTTTCAGTTTATTTACATCATCTCTTAATTTCTTTCAACAATGTTTTGTACTTTGTAGACTCTGAGGTTTGCATTTTTATTCCTAAGTACTTTGTCCTTTTTGATGCCATTTTAGATGGAATTATTTTCTTAATTGTCTCTTAACTGTCTTAATTTCGGCTTATTCATTGATGATGTATAGAAATACAATTGATTTTTGTAGATATAGATTTTTCTAACTTCTGCTTTCAGGGAATTTCAGTTTTGCCACTACTAAGTACTGTTCCTATTTCTGAGCCACTAAATTGGTGCAGTAATAATTTTCCCATTTATCACAGATATAATTTTGAGATGAGTTTTTTTTTAAATAACTAAAACTTTTTTTTTTGTTTTTCTCCCCCATCCAAAGATACAACAGTTTTAACTGGCTTTACCTACTTTTTTTTTTTAAATGTGATAAAATATGCATGACATAAAATTTATCTTTTTAACCATTTTTAGGTGTGCAATTCAATGTCATTAAGTACTTTCAGATTGTTGTGGAACCATCACTACCATATATCTCTTTTATCTTCCCAGACTGAAACTCTCTACCCATTAAACAATAACCTTTTTTCTCTCCTTCTCTCAGCCTGCTGTACTACTTATTGAGATGGGGTAGCCTGGGAGAGGAACAGACTTGAGAAGAGAAGTCAAGAAGTCCTTTTTTGAACATATTAAATTTGTGATGTAAAACATCCAAGTGGAGGTGTTATTTAGATAGTTGGGTGTATGAGTCTGAGCTCAAAAGAGAGATTTGGATTAGAGATACATATCTGATCATCATCAGCGTATGGGTAGTATTGAGATAATGTAGAAGAAAAAAGAGATGAAGGTAGGGCCGGCCCGGTGGCGCACTGCTATAGTGCGCCGCTTGGGGGTGTGGTGGTGCTCCCACCGAGGGTTCGGATCCCACATACAGACCGGTTCCTGCTCACTGGCT